AAAGTAATTATTATTTAAAAAATAAGTCAACCACAGAAGAACAAATACTGTATTATTTCACTATTGTAAAAAGTTAAGGAAAGGTTTATAGATGGAAGGAAATTTTCTTTGTTGGTTACCAGGGATGGGGAGAGGCGGGGAGGGAGCACTGCAAAAAAAAGAAAAATGAAAGAAAAAGAAAATAATGCTGGCTATAATGGTTAAGGTTTTGTGTCCACTTGGCTGGGCCATCAATCTCAGTGGTTTGGCAGTTACATAATGATATAATTTGGCAGTTATTTAATGATACAGTTGTCCTCCATTTTGATCCGAAGTGGCCATCCTCTATTTTCTGATAATGCCTATTTTCGCATAATGACACCTGGTTTTTGGAACCTAACCATGTTAAGATATGGGGAGTGGGTGTACACGTAAATATAAATTAAATGTGTAATCCATGAACAAGTGCCAGGTTGTGAACTATTTGTTGCAGGTCCATATTAAGGTAAGTGCAAGAGTTGGATGTAAGTGTTTAGAAACTTAAAACAATCTGATGGAGTAAGTTTATATCCATTAAACCTAATAATAGAAAGCTGGGGATTACAATCTATATATAACTTTTTAGTTTCATTTCTCTTAAAATTTTTTTTTACTGTGTTTTACAAAAATGTCCATTCATAATAGGAACTGGAAATTAGAAAAACAAAAGCAGATCCTTTACCATAGAGAGTTTGAGGAATACTGATCAAATGAATAGCAGGGTTAAACTTACAAAATTGAAGTAAAAATGGTTAAAGAATTATGAGACCTTCTGGATTTTCATGAATCATCTATCTCATAGGTCTTCAGATTGTCTTCTCTTCTAATGTTTTTCAAATTTTTCTTCTCATTTGTCTTTTTTTTCTTCTTCTGTTAATGCGTAGAACTCTCTTTTCAATTGACACTTGTCATGAAACACAGATACATATAAAGAAGATAAAGCAGGCTTACTCTAGCTGAATAGAAACTGAAGGGCTCAGAACTTACCTGCTTTAAATTCCTTTCCATTCCCAGAAGTCCCTAAGGTACCTCAGCAGAGCCCTATGTCTCTATAGATAAGACAAGACCACAAGAGAAGGAAGCTTTTGTTTTGCTTTTCATATGTTTTATAAGTAATATGTTATAACTGGAAATTTAAAATTTCTCCATACATGGAGAAATATGACAATATTTCATACACATTATTGTCCTTGTATTCATGAACTTAACATACTCAGTTTTGATGTATTCTAATTTGAAATTTAGGCATTTCTCTTGCCATAGCCCAATAGGCCAAAGACCAGCAGGGACAAACTTGTAGTCTAACAAAATCATGTTCATTGGCTCACAGCAATAAGGGAGACAGACTACACATCAGAGGACACATGGGGTGTCTCACCAAACAAAGCAAGACATTGATCTATTCTAACATTTTGGAGAACAGTGGCATTTAGGTGAAATTTAAATGGAGGAGTATTTTGATAAATTCAAAGCAAAGCAGGACTGAGTGTGTAGGTCTGGACTGTGAGAGGAACTCAAGATTTTGTTTCCTTGGAAACTACAAAGTTATGATTGATGCAGGATATTTTGTCCAGAAATCCCTTTACCTGAAGTTCTGCACCAGGGTTGGAAATCGACACTACTTTTCTGTGTCAATAGTGGGATGTTTCATTCTTCCTGGTAGGATCCCAAACAGCAAGTTTCCGACCATCTGTAATTATTGAGAACAAAATTTCTCAGTGAAATAAGATAGCAGCAGTCATTCAAAAGGGGTGGTAGTGGTGGTGTTATGACACTTCACATCTGTACTCTGACCTTGGGAGAAATACTGTTTCCTATAAACTTTGCAAGGTGGCTGGGTGATGCAAATGGTTAAGCACTCAATTATTGACCAAAAGGTTGTCAGTTTTTACCTACCAGAGGCACTTCACAAAGTCAGCCTTTGAAAATCCTACGGAGCAGTTGTACTGTGACACACATGGGGTCACTATGAATTGAAATCAACTCACCAGCAACTAACACCAACTACATAAACTTTGCAGGTCCTTTTACCTGTGATCACTATGCCTGTGTTCATTCACTTATGAATGGAAGGGCTGAGTTTTACTTTCCCACTCTGTACACTGACCAGTTGTTTCGCATACACTTTATTCCTTGCATCTGTGCACAATTTTGACCCTGTTGTCAAGGATGCATATTTGAGCTTTTGATAAGCTACAGATTACAAGACTGCCTAGCATCTGCATCTGACATCTTATAACTTGTGATGCACTAAAGAATAATTTAATGAAAAATGACCCAAGAAAGAAAACTACTATTTGGACCTGGTATAAGAAATGTAGGAAAGGAGAAGAGGTAATAGAAAGGAAAGATTGAAGACTTAAATACAGAGAGATCTAATATAAGGAAATCACCAACTCTGAGAGAAAAGATTCATGGACAAGGATGCAGTATTATTTATAATGGTGAGAAATTGTTAATAACAAACATTAAAGACAGTGTTATATACCCATTGCAAATATTTAATGCCATGGGAAATCTCTGCTTGTAAACTAAGTACAAAAAAACTTCAGGATATTAAAATATGGAGTAGGATTTCAATTTAATTTTTTTAATTATATGATAATATGTATAGAAAGTGTCTGTAAGGAAATATACCAAAACATTAGCAATGATAATTTCAGAGTGGTTGGGTTATGGGTGATTTTGTTTTGAATCCTTTATTTCCTACAATAAGCTTGTATCATGCAGAATACTACAAAAGACATGTCTTACGACAATACAGTACATTTCTAAAATAAGTATGTATTACTCAGAAAAATAAATTAATTACTTTTAGAAAAAAAAGTAATGATTCTTCGCCAGAAAATAGAAATTTTATGATGGAAATTATACGCTATGGTGTTATTTCTAAGTGTGTGTGTTTCACAGAGCTGTCAGATGTGTTTTTCCCACTATATTCCTGATAGGTTGAAGAACATAATTTAAATTTTTTGATTGATGATGTATCATGTGAATGAATTTAAATCTTTTTTATTGTATAATGTTTACCATTTAAACTTCATTACATTGTCAGTCACTTGTACTAGTAGGAGGAGCCCTGGTAGCACAGTGGTTAAGTGCTCAGCTGCTAACTGGAAGATTGGCAACTCTAACCCACTAGCTATCCCACAGAAAAAAGATGTGGCAGCCTGCTTCTGGAAAGATTACAGCCTTGGAAACAGTATGAGGCAACTCTCTTCTATCCTGTAGGGCCATTATGAATTACAATTGACTCAACAGTAATAGGTTTTACTAGTAGGAAGAAAAATTATGGACCAGAATGCAGAGGTCATTTCCAAATATTGGCGAGGATACGGGAAAATTGGACCCATTACCCATTGCTTGTGGGAAAGAACCCAAATATACATAAAACTTCAACAGTTTTAACAACACAAAGTCAAATCAAAAACATACTACTGTCAAGTCGTTTCCGACTCATAGGAACCCCTCCTTGGGTTTCCGATGTGATATCTCTACAGAAGTAAATTGCCCAGTCTTCCTTCTGAGGAGTGGCTGGTGGGTTTGAACTGCCAGCCTGCTGGTTAGCAGTCAAATACCTTATGCACTATGCCACCAAAGCTCCAATCAGAAAAATAGGCAAAGAACTTGAATAGACATTTTGCCAAAGAGGACATGGCCACTGTGTTAGGCTGGATTCTCTAGAGAAGCAAAACCAGTAGAGCTTATAGAGAGAGAAAGAGAAATTTATCTTAGGAAAATGGCTCACACATTTATAAAAGCTGGCAAGTCCCAAGTTCTTGGATCAAATATCAAGCTGGAGGCTTTTCCTGATTCACGCAGCTGCAGGGGCTGATGAGCTCAAGGTCGACAGGCAGTATACTGACTGTTGACTCCAATGAATGACGAATCCAAGATCTCCAGGACGAAGGGTGGATTGTTTGCTCATGGACAGTTGTAGGCAGCACAACAGGATCCTGATCCACAGAAGCGTATATTTTTCCCAGGATGTCCATAAATATATTGGAAGCAGGCCACACTTCTAGGGAAACTCCCTTTCAATGGATTGGCTGCTCAAAACATATACATCTGATCCCATCATGGGAATAACCCACATCACAATTGCTTAAACCACACAAAATTGTAGTCCAGCCAAGTTGACACACAACTCCAACTATCACAGACACAAAACCCATGAAAAGATGCTCAATGTCATCTGCCATCAGAGAGATGCAAAGCAAAACCACAATGATATACTATTTCACTCCCACTAGGATGGCTAAAATCAAACCAAACCAAACACACTGCTGTTGAGTCTATTTCAATTCATAGCAACCCCTTCTTGGATTTCTGAGGCAGTATCACTACAGAAGTAGATTGCCCCACCTTCCTTCCAAGGAGTGGCTGGTGGGTTCAAACCACCAGCCTTCTGGTTAGTGGTCAAATGCCTTAGGCACTGCACCACTAGGATGGCTAGGAGATTTGAAAAAAAAAAAAAAGCCAGAAAATAACGGAAGTCATTTGATCATGGTTTTTGACCTTTTAGCTCTTGACTGTTTTGGTTAGAAAAGCAACTTCAAATTTCAGACCCTGTTATTGCTGATGTTATTTTAAACTTTTATATTATTTTTCTAGAGTATTTCCAGGTTTCTAAAAAGTAACGAATGATGGAATACTGAGTACATACATATATCTGGGAAGTGACTGAAATTTGGTCAAGATTGATTGAAACCTATGGACAGAGTTAGCTTTAGATTTAGATAATCTTTCTGCCTTTTATAGCAAAAATATTTCTATAAATTATTCTGTTGTTAGGTGCCATCAAGTCAGTTGCGACTGATAGAGACACTATGTGCAACAGAACGAAACACTACCTGGTCTTGCATCTTCACAATTGTTGCTATCCTTAAGCCCATTGTTGCAGATTAGGGGTGCCCATAATATATAGTGACATTGTAACCCTTAAGTGACCTTACCTTTTTGATCCTGTGTGGTCTAGGACAATGTCAGGAGAACTACCACCAAACATTAATGTTAAGGAGCCTCGATGGGACCAAAGCACTTTTGTTGGACGAGCTAATCATTTCTTCACTGTAACTGATCCCAGGAATATCCTGTTGAGCAACGAACAACTAGAGAAGGCAAGGAAAACAATACATGATTACAGGTAATGTTTTTTGGGTCTTGATATATCAGTAGATCATCATATTAATCTATATCCTTTAAACCTTCACTTAGTGATTTTACATCCTTTTTTTTTTTTTTTTGCATTGGAATCCTTTAAAAAAGAAAAGTGGAGGAAGGAGAAAGGAAAGGAAGAAGGAAGACCTGTTTCTGCCCCATTGCTTACCCTTGCATAGATACCCAGGGTTCATAACCATTGCTGTTGAGTTCACTGACTCATGATGACCTCATATGTATCAGAGTGGAACTGTGTTCCATAGAGTTTTCAATGGCTGGTTTTCCCCAAGCAGATGTCTAGGCTTTTCTTCTGAGGCGTCTCTGAGTGAACTCAAACCTCCAACTTTTCATTTAGCAGCTGAGCGCATTAACTGTTTGCACCACGCAGGGACTCCATCCAAGGTTCAGAATAACCTGAAAATGAGGCAACTGTTCCTCCAACCCATAGATACTAATCTGTGAGGTTACCTTGCCCAGAACCCTGCCTCTTCTCCCCATTCCATTCTGTGCATCTTTCTATATCCAGACCAGTATCACACAAGAAAAATAAAAGTGAGCAAGAATTGGGGAAGATTGTTTGCTTCTGAGGTATAGCTCCATGGAATAAAGCTCTGCAGGTAAGAGTTCTGATGGGAAGCATGTTGGTGGCAGTGGTTTATAGGTTTGAGGAGGACTCCGTCAGCTCATAGAGCCAGACATGAGGTAAGAGAGGATGCTGCCTGTGTAGATACGCTCCAAGTCAGTGTTCAGCAAACTTTTTCTGTTGTTATTGTTTGTTGTTGAGTGTGTCAGTTTGTTTCCTACTCATAGCAATCCCATGTACAACAGAACGAAATACTACCCAATCCTGCACCATCCTCATAATGGTTGCTGTGTCTGAGCCCATTGTTGTAGTCACTGTGTCAATAATCCATCTTGAGAATCTCCTTCTTTTTCACTGACCCTCTGCTTTATCTAAGGCACTTGAGTGCTAACCAGAAGGCTGGCAGTTCAAACCCACCAGCCACTCCTCAGAAGGAAGGTTGGGCAATCTAATTCCGTAGTGATACTGCCTCGACAACCCAAGGAGGGGTTGCTATGAGTTGGGTCTGACTCGACGGCACATAACAACAATAACAACTGCTTTACCAAGCATGATGTTCTTCTCCAGATAGTCCCTCCTGATTACATGGCCTCACTTCTAAGGAACATTTTGGCTGTACATCTGCCAAGACAGATTTGTTTGTTCTTTGCCAGGTAGTCAATGGTGCATTTGAAAATTTCTCACCAAGACTATAATTCAAATGCACCATGGACTTCTTTTGTCTTCCTTATTCATTGTCCAGCGTTCATATGCATATGAGGTGATTGGTCAGGCATACTTTAGTGTTCAAAGTGACATCTTTGCTTTTTAACACTTTTAAGAGGTCTTTTACAACACATTTGCCCAGTGCAATGTGTTGTTTGATTTCTTGACTGCAGCTTCCATGGGTGTTGATTGTGGATCCAAGTAAAATGAAATCCTTAACATTTCAATATTTTCTCTATTTATCTTGATGCGGCTTATTGGCCCATTTGTGATTATTTTTGTTTTCTTTATGTTAAGGTTTAATCTATACTGAAGGCTATAATCTGTGATCTTCATCAATAAGTGCTTCAATTCTTTATTTTCTGCAAGCAAGGTTGTGTCATCTGCATATCACAAGTTGTTAATAAATCTTTCTCTAGTCCTTCTTCATATGGTCTAGCTTCTCAGATTATTTGCTCAACATAAAGATTGAATAAGCATGATAAAGCGATACAACCCTGACACACACTTTTCTGATTTTAAACCATGTAGTATCCTCTTGTTCTGTTCAAATAACTGCCTCTTGGTCTATGTACAGGTTACATATGAGCACAATTAAGTGCCCTGGAATTCCCATTCTTAGCAGTGTTATCCATAATTTGTTGTGATCCACACAGTTAAATGCCTTTACAGTTGTCGGGCAGTGAATTACTTAGTATAGCCATGGTCTTTGTGACTCCCATCAGATGACTGGGTGGAACTATGCAAATATAAGGTGCTTTTGGCCTGCCAAGGCAATTGGGTAGCTTGTTAATAATGTAAATAAGGTACAAGGCAGTCTTGTGGAGATGGGAACATGAAAATAAGGTAGTTGGAACCCTAATGTGAGGACTGGTCAGTTTTGTTATTCACTAGTCTTAAAATTAGCCCTCCCAGAGGCAGAAAGGGGGAATCTCGCTACCATCAAGAAAGAAGAGCCAGGAGTAGAACACATCCTTTGGACCTGAGATCTCTGCACTGAATATCCTTGACCCAGGAGGCAGAGAGAGAGCTGTAACATTTTGCTGAGATATTAAGAGACAGAAGCCGTGGTAGCAAAGCCCCACAGCAGAGACCAGCATGAGACAGAGTGGTGGCTCAGCCCACAGAGCAAGAAAGCTGAGTGCCTTCAGGCAGGAGTCTTGCTGCCGGAGTGGGATGCCTTTCTGGGCACCTATGTGCAGAGCTAAAAGAGCTTTGTAACACTTACCCGAATAGGACAGAGGCCAAGGGACAACAGGGCTGAGGGCTAGGCCGGAAAGAAGTATGCCTGTAACATGGTTCAGAAGAAGCTGCCCTGATTGAAGAAGTGTATCCTGAGTTGTTTCTGAGTTGTATCCTCAGTTGTTCTGAGTTGTTTCTGATCCTGCATTTTAACCTGTTACTTCCCTAATTAACCCGATAATCATGAGTATTGTCTGTGGGTTCTATGGGTCCTTTGCAACAGAACCCAGCAGAGAAGTAGAGTACTGTAGGAAGGACAGTAGGTATCAGAATTGGCAAGAAGGTTAGAGGGTGATGACATGTCTAACCTCTGCCTAATAGGAATAAGCCTCAGCTATTGATAATCTTGATCTTCCTTCCCCCTTATGAAGTTAGAGGAGGTAAGAAGATGCCACCTACATGCTGGTTTTGTAATGGTCAATAAAATATAAATAAACATCTTTTTGGTATTCTCGACTTTCAGCCAAGATCCATCTGACATCAGCAGTGACATCCCTCATTCCATGTCTTCTTCTGAATCCAGCTTGTATCTCTGGAAGTTCCCTGTCAGTGTACTGCTGCAACTGTTTTTTAAATAATCTACTGCAACATTTTATTTGTATGTGGTATTAATGTAATTATAACTTTTTCTGCAAAGGACCATTTAATAAATATTTCAGGTTTTATGGGCCATAAACAGCATATTTCTCTAGATTTTTTATTTTTTGTTGCTGGTTACTGTCAAGTCAGTTTTGACTCATGGTGATCCCATATACAAGAAAACAAAATATTGTTTGGTCTCACACTGTCTTCATGATTGTTGGTATGCTTGAGTCTGTTCTTGTGGCCACTGTGTATTTTGAGTGCTTTCCAACCAAGGGAGCTCATCTTCCAGCACTATTTCAGAACTTTTTGGAAGTAAATCACCAGACTTTTCTTCATAGTCTCTCTTATTTGGGAAGCTTCATTGAAATGTACAACCATGTTGATATTTGAAATACCAGTGGCATAACTTCCAGGATCGTAGCAATATGCAAACTACCACAGTACAACAAACTGACATACAGGTGGTGGTTTTTATTTTACCATCCTTTAGAAAAATGTGAAAAAAAAAAAAAAAAAACACTGGTAGGTAGCAAAACATACAGGACATAGACAGTGGTTTGCTAACTCCTGCTCTAGGGGAAAGTCAGCTAGAAAGTGGGAACTGGATTGATGGAATCCCTGGGTGGCAGAAACAGTTTGCACTTGACTACTAATCAAAAGGTTGATAGTTTAAACCCAGCTAATGGAGCTCTGGTAGCATAGTGGCTAAAGCACTTGACTGCTAACCACAAGGCTGGTGGTTCAAACCCACCAGCCACTCCTCGGAAGGAAGGTTGGGCAATCCTACTTCCGTAGTGATACTGCCTCGGAAACCCAAGGAGGGGTTGCTATGCGTCGGGGACGACTCGACGGCACATAACAACAACAACAACAGTGGTGCAATGGATGAAAAAAGGCCTGGCATTCTGCTTCTGTAAAGATTACAGCCTTTAAAAACACTATGAAGCAGTTCTACTGTCACACATGGGGTCACCGTAATCAGAACTGACTCAATGGAATGGGTTTGGTTTTTTGGTTTTCATGCACCTAAATGTACTCATTAGAAATACACCTGAGACAGGCACTTCACCATCATTTAGGCAGTTGGAAAGGGAACCAAGGATAATTATAAACATTATTGCCAATCACTGAGTCAGGCTGGATGTTATCATGTGCTGATATGAGCAAAAAGGGAATTCACAGACAACAGAATATCACAGAGCCTTATGAAAAAGTACTGAAAAATGAAGAAAAGGAAGACTCGGCAGAACAGTGGATGTTCTTTGTGAATCTAAAACAAAAAGCCATTAAAAGAGGAGAATTTGAAATGCAAAGACAGTTTGGTGAACTGTAAGGAAAAATTGCAAAGAGTCTCAAAAACAAAATTAAATTATTCACAGGAGTTAATATGGAACTGAACAGCAGAGATGGCACAGTGCAAAAGTAGAAACAGAGATCAGAGAATAAACCTAAGAAGCTCCCCAAAGATGTAGATCAGAGGTCGGCAAAAGTTTTCTGTAAGGTTTATTGTTGCCTTAGGGCTGATTCCAACTTACAGCAACCCTATATGACAAGAGTTTTTTCCTAGGCTATAATCTTTATAAGAGCAGATAGCCTAGTCTTTTCTCCTGCAGAGCTTGGTGGGTTTGAACCACTGATCTTTCTGTTAGCAGCCAAGTGCTTTACCATTGCACCATCTTGGCTTCTTTTTTTATAAAAGACCAGAGAGTAAATATTTTAGGTTTTTCAAGCTACATAGGATCATTGGCACATATTCTTCTTTGTTTGCTTGTTCCATACAAGTTGCCTTCAAGTTGACTCTGACTCATGGTGACCCCATGTGTCAGAGGAGAACTGTGCTCCATAGGGTTTTCAATGGCTAATTCTTCAGA